TACTTTTCCTAAAGCATTGACAAACATCACATCGAACTTTATCCACAATACAAAACCAGAAGTTAGGTAAATTCACATGAGACTCTTGATAAGTTTTAAATAATTCGTAAAATTTCAAAAAAACTGTCATTTTCAGAAATTATATTAGTAAAGGAACATTCGAAAGTAATTGATAATTTTGACGATACCTTGGTATATATTAGTTCTCAAGGAAATATTCGACAGCTACTTTTCTGTCTCAAAAACTATCAGAAATAAAGGAACGATGCAAATCGATGCAATCGAAATTTACATCTTGGTTGCATGTTAGCTTTAAATAATTGTAAGATAGAAAATTGTACCGAGTATGAAGTGAGCGCGAGCGAGAATTTTAATTTTAAGTAGTTTGTAAGATAAAATAAGTTAGCATAAAACAATAGAAAATGTCGAAGATATCGTGGGATGCGTGCGTTTTAATTTTACAATAATTTTAAGATAGAAAATTGTACCGAAAATTGTGCGCGCTTTCTTACAGAGATACGCGACTCATTTTTAGCATAATTAATAAAATACTTTCTGCATTTTTATTATCGTCGATATCAAATATAGAACAATAATGTTCTCGCGAATGTTTCGATTGAGAGTAAATTATAAGAATTATTCTAAAGACACGAATTTTTGATAAACTGTCCTATTTTCTTTGCTACAAATGAGAAACGCGTATCTCTAAATGTAGAAAGTTGCCAGTAGGGCCCCTGTTTTTGTCGGGTCCCTTGCGTAGTCACCTCCTCGTGGTGGGACCTGGTAATTGGTATCCTTTTCCAAAGAAAAATCTCACTTTTGCAAAAAGATACCAAGCTAAGGACTACGCGTACCCGCGGTCACTCGGTTTCTCACGAATACAAAGTGAACTGCGGGTATTATAGTTATACAGGGTGTCTCAATACAGCGAAATATCTTTTAAGGAAGTGATGTTAGGGAAAAAATATTTTAACAAAAGTGTTTTGTGCGGAGGGGGACATGATGTGGTATAAATATTTTTTTTTGTACCAGGTATGGTGGAGGAAATTTCGAAGTCAGTTTCATTTTTTTAAATGGAATGCTATATTTTTTTATATATAATATGATAGT